GTTAAAAAAACATTAAAAACATGTTTTTTATTTGTTTTGTGTTAGTTCAATTCTCTAGTTAAGAATTAATCATTTAACTTTCTAAATCTTTTGTATACCCATCAAGACATTTCTTCAGTGAGTTTTACCACCGATTTCTCAAATATATCGTGTTGACACTTTGTGTCAAAAAGGAGGAAGTGTGAGAAATACATTTGAAATTGTAGATTTTATACTTTTAGTATTTACTGTTTTTAATTTTAGGAAATAAGGCTAAAATGGGTCACCAACAGTGCTTGAAGTGGTCCAGAACGCCCCGGTACACAGTACAGGCACCTCAACATTTTTCGACTCTTTGACGTACCGGGACATTTTCTTGCGTACCGGGACTTCTCCTCTGCCCTCTCCATATCAGGTTTTCTGGGCGCTACGTGATGCTCACCTGTTCCCGTTCACGCCTGCCTGCTAAACTCTGTCAGCAGAGAGACACGAGGGAGAAGAGAAGCTTGGGTGTTTTTCAAGCAGCCGTGTGCTGAATGTAGCTCGTCAATGTCACTTGTGGTGAACCGACGAATCACAGCCTGGATGGGGCTGGACACGTGAAAGTGTTGACAGATAGGTGTCATTTACACTGGGGATGCTGGGGACAGGTCAGAATCTGAATGTCTCCATCACTTTTGTTAAAAATATTCTGAAAAACAGTAACTAGAAATGTTAAATAACAAATGAAACAATGCACAAAAGGAAAACATGCAATGCAATTGAATTATATAAGAAACAAATTTGCATTGTCCAAAAGCTGATTACTGAATTATCTGAATTATATTCCATTATATTTTGAATTGTCACCTGTCACCTTAATTTAATTTCCCTTCATATAAATAAAGACATTTCCTACATAACTTGGTGCAGAAAATGTGTTCAGAATGCAAGAAATTAAGTGGTTAATGCGCAAAGTCATCTTGTAGTACTGGCACCTATTTTTTTCCACTTCAAGCATTGGTCGCCAAGAGTGCTGGGCAAGTTCCTCTGGAATTATAATATGTTACATTTTGCTTAGAACTCCTTTAAAAAGTAATATCATTACTTTACTTATTAAAGGCAATTAGAAGTAACTATTTATGTTCAGACAAGATGATGCTATACAGTATAAGCTATGTAGCTACAATATATACAGTATTTAACAAAGTAAGCAAAGCAAGTCTCTCACAAGTCTTTTATAGCATATTCATTCAAGAGCAGCAAGGAGTATTTCACTCCCGACGTTTTAACGTTTTTCTGCACACACATTAATAAGAGCAGTATACATTGTTTTTACAAAACATACAATGTTTAGTCTAGTCTAGTGAGAGCACTAGACTGCAGAGCATCTTTCTCCACCAAGCTATTAGACTATCAAACTCAACTTCATCCTCAGCAATGCTCCACTTGTTGCGTGTGTTGGACAGAGAGGACCCAAAAGCAACACTCAGGTGAAAGAGGATTTATTGAGGGAAAAAGGGGTTGAGGAAGTAGAAGGAGAGGGAGAGGTGGATGCCGGGGGAGCCGAGGAGCAAGTAGGGCAGAGGGGGCTGAGGCAAGGGAGCCGAGGAGCACCGGGGGCCGAGGAGCAGGTGGGACCAAGGAGGCTGGGACAAGGGAACTGGGGAGGCACCGGGGGCCGAGGAAGAGAGGAGGCACGGGAGAACTTGGTGGATGAGTGTGGTGGCAGATTGACTGTGAGGCACCAGGGGGAACCGAGAGGGTGCCATGGAAGACGCCCGAGAGGAGAGGGGCGGTAGGCAAGCCCAGCTGACTCGACGGAGGACGGAGGTGAGTGAGCCTGGGGAAAGGCAGACAGACAGACAGGGTTAGTAACAGGGAGGCCAAAACACAAGGGGAAAACAGAAAAAGGAGAAATAAACAGGACAATCACTGTCAGCTGGGCTGCCACCACAACACCACTGAGTACAGTGTATTTCAGTTTACCATTCTATGATTACTTTTTACCGTATAAGGTCTACAATGTAGCAGAATGGAGTTACAAACTTGATTTCATTTTACAACCTGTTGTAATGTGACAAATGTTTACTTGTTACTGACTTTGGACATGGTTGAACGTTACTGCTGCTGTTACTATTACCTTAAATGCAATTTGATGAAGTGTCACGCTTGCTAGTGTGGTGATGCATTGTCTTTTTCTAGGCTATATATTTATTAGATGGGCTGTGATGTGCAGGGCTAATGCTAATCATTTGTCAGCTCACTGCATTTTAGCCCAGTGTTTGTTCAATAATTCAATGCAAATTCGTCCTTTTTCTCAGCAATGCAAAGTTTTAATCTATTTGTTCTTAATCGTTTCTTTAATCTTTTGTTTTTTATATAATCAGCCTAAGGCTAAGAAGAAGACTCCGGCCCCTACAGTTGAGTTGATGGCAGACTTAACAGAAACGACCAGAAGACCTAAGACCTAATTGATGAGCATGTCCAATTTGATATAAAATCTATTTGCGTTTGTTGTGCTTATGCTTTACATCCTGAACATACAGGGGGTTTGGTGCCCAGTGTGAGCAGCAGCAGCAGTCTTGGATCAGGTAATCATTTCTCATTCTCTAGCAGTGTTTTGTTGATAATTTTTTACATCTTCACTCACAGGATTTAATTTCTTTCCATTGATACTCTTGAAAGTTATTGGCATTTTACTGTATGTAGCAAATGTATACCTTATGAAGGTACAGTATGGTCCCAAACAAATAGTTTGTGAAATGAACTGTAGAAACAATTTGTAACACTGCAGTAGCCTTTAAAATTGTCGATGTAGGCTAACAGTTTAAGCAGTGCTGAACTTTGATACTACTTTTTTTCTCCATCCACTGCCATATAGTGAATCGGGTGAGCCTGGGTTTAAAACTGTTTCATAACTTTTGTTGTATGCCATTCCTTATCTGTCACTCCCTCATCTTTCTTTTAACTCAATGCGATCAATCACTATCTTAATCATAATCATAATCTGTATTTGTATTGTTTTATTAAGGATCAGTCTCCAAAGTGAGAGAGTTCCTAGACGCCAAGATCCAATGGCAAGAGAAAATGATAAACAAGAGCGCAATTTCCTACGTGCGCAAATCCTGGGAGGAAAGAAGAAATCACGTGTTATTTTAGACCAACTTATATTTCCAAAATGTTTTATTGAAGAGTGATGTGTAATGTGTTGCTTCATCACAACTGATCAATGTCTCATCTATCCCCTATCAAATTACACCACAACCAAAAGTCTTTACTGAAGAAGAGGATAAGAACGTGGAAGAAGATGACCTTCCCCAATCCTTTAGAACAACTTTCATTTGTTGTCTCTGCATTTGATATTTCAATAATCATTTGCTGTAATATAAACCTGTACATTTGGATTTGATAACAAATAAAAAAGGTCACAGTGATCATGAAGAACTGCCTTAATAATGAATGCCACTGTTGTTATTTGATAGTTTAATTAGTACAGGCCTACCTACCGACACAGCTATTTGTAGCACAGCTCAAAGTCAACAAGGATCATTACATCATCATAGTGTAATGACACTGTTATATCTAAAGTCTTATTTAAGTCAATATGTAAGAAGCAAAAAAATCAAGAACAGAGACCTTATTTAGAGCTTTATTGGATGGTGCAACAGCAACCACCTTCACATCAACATAGGAAACCCACCCCAGTCGTAATAAGGGTGAGAGGGTAGAGATGGTAAACACCTATACGTTCATTGTGGTGCAACTAAACAACTAACTGGACTGGTCGGACAACAGGAAAGGACAGAGCAGGATGTTCTTCCAGAGAAGGCTCAGGTCCTTCAGTGTTTGCACCAGGCAGCTAGGGATGGAGCACTTTCAGCCACAGAGCAATCAAAGGGCTTAGGAGGCTCAATTGTGCCATCAGCTGTCAGACTCCACAACAATACAGCACCCAGTAAATTCCAACAGAGGCGTGGCACAAAATCCTGGGCCCTATAGATAAGCAGTCTCTGTGGGCCCTGTTCCTCTCTTGTTCCATGTCTCTCACGCATCTTTTGAAAAATGTTTACAAATAACTGAGCTAACAACTGGACACATGAATCTGAAGTTGTGATTAAGGTAGTCACTAATGAACTGTTCATACAACATTTAAACAAAGTAATAATAATCTGAAACATAGAGGACTGATGTTAGCGTCTTAGCCTGCTTATAGGTAGTTGCCACTGTACATCGTGTTTCATGTCCTCAGTAACAGAAGGAGATGATGAGGAACCTGCTGCTGCTCCACTCTCTGTAGCTGTTTCTGAAACTGTTTTTCCTGGTGTTAAGCTTTGCTAGGTGATGTTGGTAGGTATGATGGCATATGACATTGTAGCTATAAGGCTGATTAATTTATGATGCTTATATCAGCCAAATGTAATTTGAGTTTTAACACTACTTGCGTAGAAATAAAACATTGCAAACAAAAACACACTTTTCATTCCAGGCTTTTCAAGGCCCCCCCATTGGGGCCCTGGGTAATTTGTCCCGCTCTTCTCCCCACTACGATGCCCCTGAATCCCACCTCCACACCATCACAACACCCTGCCTGTCTCTGCTGACTGAGACTCTATCCCACTAAGCACAACTCTTTTTGCACACATTATCTCTGACACATTGCACATGTACAGATACACACAAGGATACCATAATTCTATCTACTTTTACTTGTATTTTATTCTGTCTTTTACTCTTTGCACTACATTCCCCTGTGATTCTGTGCCAATTTGAATTTCCCCTATGTGATCAATACAGGAATATCTTATCTATGCAGACAAATTGAGCTCTGTCAGTTGATTTGGTAGACAAATGTCATTGGAAAGCTGGCAGGCTCTGTGCATCTGCTGATCAGTCCAGCTGGCATGGAGACATTCCATACTGTACATGCAAATGGTCTGTCAAAACAAAGCCAGGACTTCAGCGTGTCCCATAACGTGTCCCCAACACACACACACACACACACACATCTTGTCCAGCCTAAACCAGTACTTCTGACAGATGCGCTAACCTTCTCTGTCTCAAATTCTGATGTGTACCTGTTAGATATGGAGCACAGACGGATCTCCGTTGCAGCAACCTTGATGGATTAATCATGTGATTTCTGTAGAGTGTGTTAAGTGTAAAGCCAAGGTAAGATATTTTTATTAATATATTTTTATAATTGTGAGAGAGATGAGATCTTAACAGGAGCTAGATCTTTACATAGCACTGTACTATAGACAGTTTTAACCCTAATTCAGTTTTATTAGTTTATCAGTATTATTAAAACTATCAGTGTAAATAGCATCTTAAAAGCATATCTATGAAAACCTTTGTCTAGCTTGATATGTTAAATGTTTTAACATATACGCCCAAACTTCCTCCACAAAGTCATGTATCCCGGAAGTTTTAACCGATTGTCAGGTAAAACTTGCTATTGCATTGGAAACCCTCAGCCCTTCAAAGTCAAAATGAAATGCTTTACCAATGTAAAAATGTTAATGCTGCTGCTGTGATAAGGAGCAGTTAAACCAGCATATTGTTAACAGGAGCTGTACTCCTCCATAGGATGAAGAACAGAAAGCTAATACACTTTTTTGTGATTTCATAAAGGTGAACTGCATTTCTCCTCTTACATGAAAAGTGACTGACTGCAAGAAGAATCAGAGTAAGTTAATCAGCAACTTACTCTTTACTTCAATGGGTAAATGTTCTACACAAAGTTGTACATTCAATGTAAAAATAAATTAAAAATAACATCTGTTTTCTGGAAAAACATACTGAATGGAAGCAGAATTATTGTATCTTTCTTCAGACATTAAGCTAACGTGTTGACGAATGCGCTTCAGATTTTAGTCAGTGTGCAATTAAAAATAAGAAATCCACAACAGGTTAAAGAAACACCACATCAATACCAATGCCAATCTCAACAAAGACAGACATTGTAAGCTTGAAAATGATTATCATTATTTCTGGGGTATTTTATAATAATTATTATGTATGTGGCTATTTAGCAGGTGTTCCTGTTATTGTGTCCAACCCTTATAGGTTAGTTAATGTAAGCTTATAGGTTAATATAAGCGTAAACTCTATGTACACATTTGTGCAAGTGTGTATTCTTGAACGTGACTTATATCTGGATGTCTGTTAATGAACATCTGCATATTTGGGCAAGAACATGGATGTCTTTCATGTTCTGGCAGCCTGTGCTGTTGTTCCAGTGTCATATAACCACAGTGTTAGAATGGCTAAAAGAAAACCATGTCTTAAATCAACAAGAAAATGAAATGGCCATGAATTGTACTATGCAAACAGGCCTTTGACAAACTGGGTACATACCACCACTGATGTGGGCAGGAGTGAACAGTGCACTGTTACGAGATCCAGGGGAAACCATCAACTCGTTGTTTGCTTTCCATAATCCAAATTCAAAGAGATGCAAATGAGTTTGAACCAGCTCCCAGTGCAGTGGAAGGCAAAACAGATAGCTGCTGATAAGATTGTCATGAAAGTATTAGGATAAACATGTTATAATAGTATAAGTTGTGTATATAGTTGTTTTGCTGTTACAGCATGCAAATTTATCGATTCACTTTCACTTCTCTCCTTAACCCTGTTTCCAGCAGCAGACAGCTGTTTTAAACGTAAAAGCTCTGATAAACCCACTGTACACAACCTGCACTGCAACAAACAGCAGTCAAAGTTTAGAACTAGCTAATTAACATTAACAACATTTTCCTCAGGAGTTGCCAAAGATCAAAACAGAGTAAGGATGAGAGAGAATGTTGACCTAAAATTAGTTTGGTGACCAAAAACAAAACTCTAAATAAATTCTAATGCTGCTGTGTGTCTGCTGGATGTGTAATAGAAAACTGAGTCAATGTTGTGTTTATAGCTTGTTGCAAATTGAAACATAACTAACACAAGTGGAACCTTTGGCCCTTTAGAGGAAAAGTCAGGGGGTCATTAGAAATATTAAGAATCATCTTGACGGGAATATAATCCACAGAATTTTTGATGGGTATAGTTATGTCTCAATATTTTAAGTTATGTTTTATTTTCTGTCTGAAACAGCTGACTTTCCAATTGGAATCAGCAGTATTTAGAGCTTTTTTTGACTTGAGTGGACGGTTCATTTGTTTTTAAATTTGTTTAGCACAAGTGAGTGATAGTTTAATGGCTGCTCTATGCTTCCATAAATGTAAAGTGCATGAGCACCATTTCAGTTTGTAGAGGTATATAAAATCATTTACATGCATTTACCTTCCATGACACCCCTGCTTGGATGGAAAATGTGGTCTTTATTCAGTTTAGGGGGTTACCAAAATTACTAGGAATCATCTAGAGAGGGTGCTGTCATCTGGCTATGAATATTATGGAACATTACAAGAAAGTGCATGTAGATACATGTATGTGCATTTGTGACTGAATGCATTTTTTTTTCAGTCTCCTTGTTCCTTAATTGGTGTGTTTTCTTTCAGCAACAATGTGGTCCAGGGTGTTTGTGTTTCTGATTGGAGCTGTTTACATCTACCATCAGGTAAAGATGCTTATCAGTCTAATGTGTTAAATATCTTTGGATAGGAAAGGGTGAATTAGAGTGTTACGTGTCCTGCATATAAACATTTTCAATTACTTAAATGACAAAATCCAACTTTGTATATATATCTATGTTTATTTGGCACACTAAAAAGAAAAGATTGAACTACCCCCATGACAGAAAAACTAATTCTATTGTTTGCTTTTCTTGCGATTGCAGGTCCTTGCATCAGGTGAGTCACTTGGCTACATTGTCATGTCGGACACTTCTGTAAAATACTTCTGAAAACTCCCACAAATTGGGCCAAAATTAAAGGCCTTTGCTGTGGTAGAATAGTCAAAGAAATACGTTCTGTGTCTTTTCACACATTTTTCTAAGACCTAGATGTAAAGGTCATGAGTTTAAGGAAAGATGGGAAGAAGAATTCACGAGGACTTTGGAACAAACAAGCATGGTGCTAAGAGAATCCGAATGCACTTGCAATGGGCTTTTTTTTAACCAACTATTTATGGAAGATACGTACAGTGACAAACTCAGTGTTGTAAATTTCAAGGTTTCCTATCCAAAACAGAATCAAATCTTATAATAAAGTATATTATCAACTTATAGATATGGAACATTTAACCACCCATTACTCACTGGAAGTAAAAACAAAATAGATATAGTTGAAAACTTACTTGGTTGTTTTCTGGATTTTGTGATTTCTTTACTTATTATATTTGTTTATACTTTTATATTTGATTAGCCGCTAGAAAGGTATGGAGGACTGATGCTGACAATTTCAAAAATAATTACAGAAACAAATAAATGCTCAATAAATAAATAAACATCAGATTAAATCCACAAAAATATTTTTTGTGTTTTTTTGCGTTTTAATAATTTTGTCTGTTTTATTCTTCCTTTGCTTTTCTGCCCTATTTATCTCCCCAATGGTATTTATTTCTGTCTCCCCTTTTTACATTTATCTATGCATTTTTGCCTCATTATGCAAATGAGGAGGGGCTCTGTCTCAAGGGGTCAACTCCTTGCCTATTGATGGATCAGTCACATGGCAGAGGTCGACTCTACATGCACGTCACCAAGCCTTGCTCCCCACACAGTCCGATGGCTTTCTTCAGTGAACTGGGGTGTTTAGCCCTAACCCTTTATTTGAAGACAATTCTACCATGTCGAGCTAGTGGTTTCAGCAACACATCACCTCAGCTCCACCCATGACCTGCCTCTTTGCCCATTTATGGTTATCCGGGAGTGACGCGCGGTGATGCGGTGCCAAGATGGCGACGGCCAGCTCCGCCCAATTCAGGCTTAAAATCTGCACTTCAGAAACCAACAGTTGACGTCATGGATACTACGTCCTCCATTTTTAGATACAGTCTATGACTTGTATTCTACCCTTTACATTAAATGCTCCGGCACGGAGCAGCTCGTTGCACTGCTAGTATCAGCTGCTGTGTTTCCACAACAGGGACATTCAGGGTGAAAATTCAACCGAAGTGTTGTGTCGGGAGATGCAGCGACTTAACCAGCGGTGAGTGAGAAATACTATGAATAATACTTTGTTAAGCTAAGAGGAGAGGAAAAGTCTGCTTGCCGCTAGGGCTAATTTCTGTAGTGTTTATGCCATGCGCTAAAGCTCTTAAGCTAGTAATGGTGACTTACAAAAAACAATTTAATAAATTCCTTTTATATTCCCCCTTACATGCCTTGTTGTTTATGTGTAGATACAGCGGAAGCATAGGAGAACAGCACCTATCAAATTGTTACTGTGTGATTATAGAGCATGGAAGAACAGTGGGTACTTTTAATACAGCCCACATCCCTAATATTACTGTGTAACTACAGGTTAACGAGTGAAGAACATTCAAGAACTGTCTGCATAGCTTATTCATCTTGTGTAAAGAATGAAATTAAATATGCCTACTAGGCTCCTCTCTACTTTAACATTTAAGATTAGCTATGTTTAATCCACCTTCATACGCATATGTGACTTTACTACATTACTATATAACTTGAGAAAGATAAGTTGTTTTCTGCTCCAGCCTGCCTAAATGAAAAACATTTTTATGGTCACTATTGTGACCGATGGGATTAGATGGGCTTTATTAGCTGCTGCAGTGCAGGATGAACTATTATTAGCTGCTGCAGTGCAGGATGAACTAAGAATAGACCTGTTTCTCAACTTATTATTCTTAATCATACAATGAAGTAGAAGAAATGCATAAAAATCCTATTATTTGTATTTATTGAAATATATAGTATATTATTTTGGAAGCACATCGCAATTTAGAAAAATTAAAATAAAATAAAAATCAATTAATAGCTGCCAGATGATGTCATTGTTTATTGCCAACTGTTCAGTTCTGTTTACCAGCACTGTAACTTGTAGGTACCCAGAAAGTTTAATTCTTGCATATTGCAAACCAAAAGAGAACATGATCAAACAGTTGTATTTGTTGTATTAGTTTTATTAGTTGCACATTTTCAGCCCCTATTCTTTATTCTGGATAAGCTGTATCTAAAAAAGAGCTGACAGCTGAATCAGATGATTGTGAATCAGTTTAGTTTTCATTAATGGTAAAGTGGTTGCCTTTACATCCAAAAGTGTCTTTGAGGGTGAACTGATAAATGGCAACATGTTCCTCCAGTCAGTAACATTGAGACTGAATCAGATCTGGAGTTGGTCCCCGGGCGCTGCACAGTGACTGCCCACTGCTCCCTTGAGGGAAGGGAATTTCGCTATGTGTATGTGACAATAAAGTATAACTTATCTTACCTATCTGTTGATTATTCAATGTTCATTCATTGTAGACACTGTCAGTGAACTCCAGGTAGCTGTCCACAAATACTGTACAGTATGTAGCCTAATGAACAGTCCTTGTGTTATAGCTGACTTGGATAGTGAAATGTTCATTCAACATCCATCAATCCATCGTCAACCAGGAGCCAATCCCAGCTTACATTGGGCGAAAGGCGGGGTACACCCTGGACAGGTTGCCAGTCCATCGCAGGGTCATACAGACAGACAACCACTCACACTCACATCCACACCTAAGGACAATTTCGGAGACACCAATTAACCTAGCCTGCATGTCTTAGGATGGTGGAAGGAAGCCGGTGCACCCGGAGAGAACCCACGCGGACACGGGGAGAACATCCAAACTCCACACAGAAAGGCCAGGGCAACCGGGGCTTCTTGTGAAATGTTTCATTTTTAAATGTGTTCCTAGCTGTCCATAACTCAAATCAGAAATTAAAGGAGACCTATTATACTGCTATACTCCTCCTATACTCCTATACTGTAGTTCCGTGACTCCTGTGTGGCAGCTTTGCATGAATGAAAGTTCAAACAAATATTTTATATACTGACTCTTCATATAGGCCTTCATTTCAGCCTCTGTCTGAAACAAGCTATAGATGTTATAAAGGCTTATTGATGTGTGCATTTAGATTTTACCTCTGCCGTCTGACTGATCCAACAATAGGCGAGAAGTTGACGCCTGGAGACACAGCCGCTAATGAGGCAGAAATGCATAGAGAAATGTATAAAGGACAGACAGAAATAAATACCATTGGGGAAATAAATAGGGTAGAAATGTATTTTTTGTGCATTTAATCAAATGTTTATTTATTTATTGAGTATTTATTTATTTCCCTTCAGTGGTCCAATCTTTCATCTTCATTTCTAGAAAGTGTTTCTTGCATTTGTTTTTTGAGCATCAATCTACCACCTAGGAAATTATATTTTAATGAGAAATCATGTAAATACTGTCATGTATCTTGTAGTTAATTATATTGTATGCTTTTTATGGTGACTCATTCCCTTCTCAACAACTTCTGGAGCACTTTCTTCTTTTTTTGGTTATTACTTCAAAACACATTTTAACTGTGAGAGGGAAATGGAGGGAGGTAAGGGCATTCAAAACTATGAGGGGCAGTACAAGTCATAATTAACTCTGGGCACCTCAGTAGTGGCAAATGAGGGAGGGCACGATCAGATTTATCACCGAAATTTATCCTGCCAGTCCAGGGTCCCACTCAAACAATTATCTTTTCATTGAACACACCATGTAAACATTCACAGTGCAGTGTGGGAAAAGTATGTGAACTCCAATGACTTCTCCAAAAGCTAATTGTAGTCAGGAGTCAGTATACCTGATTTGAAAGGATACAGTTAAACAGAGTCTGTAGTAGCTGAAGGAACTTGTTGGAAAATAAAAAGAATGTATTCATTTACAAGAACACGTATTGATGCCAAGTGATGCCAAATACTTAGCTTGACATAATTCAGGATTTTATCACTGCTCATAGTGAAAAGCGTTGTGAATTTTGTTCTGTATGATGATGACGACAGACTCCTGTCACGGACTTTCTCCTGTTTTCTTCCACAGAAGTCGTTATACATGACATTGATCTAGTCCTGGAATTGCGTATCCCAGTCTCCAGTGATTCATCAAATTTCACTGAACTATTCAGGAACTCTGTGAGAAAGGTCTCGCTCCCCTACACCATCACTCAGTCTTTAAATGTAACAGGCTTAAATTTCACCACAGGTAAGAACTTTCCTTGTTTAATCTGTTTGGCTGATTTAATTCTGTTTTATCCAATGGTGAATGATTTTGAAATGTCTTTAAAAGGGTGCTATCCAAACTCCACTGGAGGACTGCAGTGTCACTGTGAGGAGCAGTTTGCGTGGTCATGTGACCAGTGCAACATCTACGGTGCGTGCAGCAATGCAACCAGCCAAACCTGTGGGTGCATAAATGGACTTCCGTCTGATGGAGCGCTCTGTGAACCAATCACAAGTAAGCATTTCTGTATTGTAGTAGTTCAAATAAAAGTTGTGCTAGAAAATTTACAAATGAATATCTACTGTATCTGGCTGACTGTTCTGCATGTTCATGTTGATTATAATATGTTTTTCAAAAGCAGAAAAACAAGGTGGATTAATTTAATCTCCAATGTTGCTCCACAGATATCACTCAATGTCTAACCCCACCTCCTGGTATGGGACAAATTTTGCTTTGTTTTGAAAGAATACAATTGAAAAAAGCCTCTAATAGTTGTAGTTGAAGAGTTACAGATTTTTTTCTTTTTTTTACAGCACCAAGAACAAACGCAACAACAACAAACCCAACAACACTAATGACTACAGCACCACCCACAACAACACCCTTGACGACAACACCAAACATAACACCAATATCAATAATGACAACAAACACAACATCAGAAACAACACCAACATATGTAATAACATCAGTGACAACCCCACCAATGCCGACAACACCAAATACAACAACAGAAGTGACAACAATAAATACAACAAACACATCAACACTATTTACAACAACAACACCAGACACAACAAGACAAGTGATGACAACAACTACAGCAACCAGGACAACTACAACAACACCACTAATGACCACAACGTCCATGACAACAATATTACAGAGTATGACACATAGAATATATGAATGAAATTATGTGTATCTCACGAAATTGCTACTTGGTGATAACAACTGTTTCTGTTGTAGCAAAGAACTTGTCGTTTACCATGGACAAAGATTTTGATCCTTCATATAATAACTCTAACAGTACCGTTTACAAAGATGCTAACAACGCTGTAAGTTTTGATTTGTTGATGGAATGAATTTATGTGATATTTGATCCTGATGTAATTGCAGAACTGATAACAAGCAGGCTATTTCACTGTTTCAAACAGATTCAAAAACAATGTATGGAGCACATTTCAACTCTAGTATCAGTCAACATCATCGAGATCAAGTAAGTCAAAATTTTTTGATTTTACTCTCCTTCTTAAATCAGAGAAAATGTACTGGCAGTTTCTTTTCAGGTTCATAGCATTATATATTAGCATAGTACCAGGGTAATTATAATTTAAAATTGGGTACTGAAGTTGAATATTTAATGAAAGGAGTGGTAGCAGAGATGTTTTTGCCTCAGTATAATATTTTAAAGGGGCCATGAATAGTTTTCAATGGCCTTTTGCGATACAGTTTCAGACTGCAACCACTACGTTTCTAAGCACATGCTCCTGCACGTGCTTAAACTGGCTCGAACTCATGAGCGAGCACAAGCTCAGCTGGCGTTAGCTGACTCTATTTTGTTGTTGCTAAGTGTACAGTTCAGAATCATCAGGCTAGTAGGCAAGAGGCTTGGAAGCACGCATGCTGAAAATCCGACCCAGTTTCCTCACATAGGACATTTAATAGTGGCTGTTCCAAGGGACCAAGAAACGTGTGTGCACAGACAGTAACCTCATGTCACAGCCACCCACACACACACACACACAGGCTAAAGCATGTCTTAGGTGTGTGGAAGTTATTCACAAGAGACAACAATCACTATTTACACCTGCAGAGAAACACACAGAAAGAGTGGATATTATAAAGCAGGGAGCAGGTAAAGCAACAGTGAACACAGCTGTTGGTGACGATGTCATTCATACCACAGTGGTCTCTATCGGTAATTACCAAGCCTCCTCCACACGCAACTCACCGGCTGCTGTGAAAACGGAATCGCAGATGAGAAGATACCAAATGCGAGTTCTCTTAAATAAAACTGACAAATAAAGTCAGAGCAGACAGAGAGAGAGAGACAGGTGTAGGAGCTTGTGTGTCTGACGGGAAAAGCAAGGTGTGCAGATTACTGTGGTTTGTGATTAAACACAAAAATAAGTTGGATAATTAAGTAGAATTAAAATTGTGAGCTAAGAAATAGGATAACGTATTCTTTCAAATAAATATAATACATTTAAAAATGGTCGAGTGTATAGGGTACTGTAATTTATTTTCAGCTCCTTCCAGTGAAATTGCTAATGTTATTTTATAATCAATGTTTCATTATGACCATACAATTGAATGGACCCCAGTGAGAATAGCCAACTGGAGCTGATGGGGATCCTAATAAAAATAGATTTTTCCAATAAATTGTTACAAAAATGTTTGTGTATGTTGTCAATTATAGTTCTTAGAAAGAAAATCGTAATTGTTTAAAATTATAATCGGCAGGTCAGACCTTTTAAAAAAATAAATAAATAAAATCAGTAATTGGAATCAGCCAGGAAAAATGTAATCGGTGCATCTCTTACTACAACTAACACAGCCGGTGTGTGAACCGATATTAGGCTAATTCTGTAGATCTACCGTTGTTTTGGGTTCCTATACAAGTACAATTTTGGCTGTATTATTTGTGTCGCCTTCAATAATTGCTCTTGAGAAATTTTATGTTTATTGCCCCCCCCCCCGGTACTGTTAGTGTTACTGTTAATTTACGCCCATGGTTTCAACATGATGTATCTTTTAGTTTTTCATGCTTGCTTGAACACATTTCTTGAAGTAACAAAACAAATCCATAACTCACCCAATTCCCCATTCTCAGGTCAAAATGAAGCTCTTCACTCAGAACCATTCAATCTTCTGAAAAACCAAACTTCCCCCCTTAGACATGACACACAAGCTCTCAAAAACACATTCACTACCACACAGTCTTACACATTGATGCGATAAATTCAAAACAATACTACAAAAACTAGTAACTAATGTTACTTGTGTTTCTCCCCCTCAAAAACTTTTCACATGATGAACACAACAAAGTTAAAGTTTTTCACAATTGCTAAGACACATTTCTTGAAACCTTCACCCATATTCTCAAAACTTTAAACACAAACCCCAGTCTTCAAACTACATTCACAAAACTCCTTGCCTTCCAAATTCCAAACACTTGCCTCAAAACCATGTGATTTGTGCTCAAACTCAAACAATGCATTCAAAACATAAACACAACCAGTCAATAGGTAAAACATTACAAGCATTCTTAAGACACTACATCAAAAAAATTGAGAACACATCGTCCAGGGCATGTAGTTACAGAACTATTTTTTTTTCGTAGAGGAAACATATCTTCCAATTTACAGGTTTTTTTTTATTGTTGTTGTTATTATTTTTCATTACTGAGTTTACTTTTTCAAAACTCTTCACACTGTTGTCTGTACCAACACGCAGCTTGCACAATAGTTACAGTAATTTCACACCCAAAATGCACCAAAACACTGCATAGTTGTGTCAATATCAAATTATTTTACAAAAACACCAGCTCTCCAACAGCAACACTTTGTCACTCATAACACAATTACTTAAAAAAACACTAACAGGTAGTATTACAGAAAATTGCAAGGGAAACAAAAGTCAGCACTGTAAATACTTGCTCAAAAAAACTTGCATGTGTTTAGCAGCACTCCATCAGAGGATATCGCTGCACACATGGTAACATTGGCACCCCTTTGGCTTGGGCCACCCACTTACTAGCTCTTTTAGCAATCGAATTTCATCCTGTTTTCCAGTCCACGTAGAAAAAAAAAACATGGGTGTGTGATGGGCTTCCAGCGCCATGACTCCGTTTAAAAAATACCCCCTGTGGGGGTTAGTCATTGGGTCCTAAAGAAGAAATACACACAAGCAATAGGTTTAAATTTTGGTAATATGCAGTTATTCCTCAGAATACATATTTTACCTGTTTGTTTACTGGAAGATTCTGACAATTGATGCCACCATTGAGGGGGCCACATGTGGCTGCTCTCTAAGACCAGTCTCTTTCAATGATAGCCCATGGTTGATTACCTGGTCTCTGACCAGGTAATCTGCAGCTCTTGGTCATCTCTGCTGTTGCCTTACACTACCATGCATGCAGAATTCCTCTCTGTACCACTCTTTCTACTCAGTCAGTCTCAGTTTGGTCCACATAGACTTCTGTTGTGCTAACAGTGTGAAGAGTTTTGAAAAAGTGTACTCATTGAAAAATGCTTGTTAGTAATTGTAAAGAGTATAGTAATCACAAGTACAGTAAATATATAGTATTCTGTAAGTACTGCAAGTAATACAGTATTGAATATCTGTATATTCAAGTAAGCCCATAGAACTATAAATTGTTGCGCAACTGCAAAATCAAAGGGTGACATTGCCAATGCTGGCCAGGGACTTGACCCCATGTTGGTTTGATCACATCATTAGAAACAAGTGTGCGTCTCGTCAAAAAAAAATTAAATGGATGAATTGCCGTGAAACAGGAAGTTATAACTTTAGTATACATGCTCACATCTCCACCAAAATTTAACTGTATAATAAGAGTCCCGCCCTGAACACATCCATATGCCAATATTCACTCAGTCATGACATGTTTTACGCGCTAATGTTTTATTCCGAGCAAGTTGGACATATCAACTTAAAAACCAGTTTCAGTTAACGCCGTTTCGGTGGCGTGGCGGTGAAGTTCCATGCTTCGCCATGACACAGGAAGTTGTTGTAACTTCACTGTACATACTCAGATCTGTATGAAATTTTACACGTTTAACAAGAGTCCTGCCCCTGAACACATGTACATGCCAATATTCGCCCATAGTCACAGCTCCATCTACTGGCAACATGAAATGAACTTTAAGAAGCAGCCCCTGTGGCACATTTAGCCTACATGTATGAAATTTCTGTGGCACATGTATCATGTCCAGATGTACCAAAAAGACTCTCGAAGCAATGCCCTAATCCCAACAGGAATTTCAATTTATTGGATTGGTCATTTTTGGATGATTTACACACTCCATACTTTGGTCAGAATAAATCCATAGGAATTCGTTCCTCCTAGGGATTTATTCCAACCGACTTCAGATTTGTGCTGTGCAATCTAAACCCATTGACGTACAAGTGAGTTTTTGTGGAACGGCGTGCCCGTGGCGTGGCATCAGTCTACATGCTCACATCTGCATCAAACTTTATGTGCTTGATAACAGTCTCGCCCCAAACAAAGGGGATGCAGGAAGTGATGATGATTAACACCTGCAGCGTCTGAAGCGCATGGCAAATTCACAGCTGCACCGATGGCGCACCATAATCTGCAATGTGGCCGCCTCACACCTCGACATGCTACACGTGCAAGGGCCCGCTCAACGCTGCCTGCAGCTTTAATTATTAATATAGCGCTATTCAAAAAGTTATATGGTGCTTTACAAAGACAAAACCGAGAAATTACCAGAGAAAGAATGGATAAAAGCTGAATTGATAGTAAGTGACAAGTACGAATTACTAAAAACAAGGAAAATTTGCCATTTAAAATTTGGGGTGTGGTAAGCTTAATCGGTAGAGCGTGATCCTTGTGAATCCTTATCACAGCTGCCTGCATTCGAATCCAGACTGTGGCCCTTTGCTGCATTTTGTTCCCTCTCACTCCCTCATTCAATGTCTCTCTCAACTGAAATAAAAGGCGAAAAAAGCCAGAAACTTAATATATTTAAATTTTCATTAATTGATAAGTGAGAATGATTTCATTCTCAATCATTTCAAAACAAGTAACCATAGTGTTTTTGAAATACCGTTTTGGAAGTGGTTAACATCAAGTTTCCAGAGCAGATAATTATTAATAAATTCTTGTGATTGTATTTTCATTGGGATTCAATTCTGTATTACAGGAGTGGAAGCACCATCGTTGACTATGCTATAAGAGCAAACTCTATAAATGATACAGAAATTGCTGCAGTAAAATCAGGGGTATTTTCACAGCTGGGAAAAATATACCCTGTGATATTTGACAGTGAGTTTAACACATTTTAAAAACATTTTATGAGACACATTAAGTCATGTTTTAAATTCACATAAGCTTTGTCATGTCAGGAATATCAAATTATTTTGTACAGATGATTGTATGATAATTGTCTGACCTTTGTGTCTGTTCTTTTAAAGGCCCAGCACCCTTAACGTTTGATCCACCTTCAGTAATTTTTGGGGAAAGTGTGACTGTGACATGTGGCCCTCCACCATTGGATCTCAATTTCAGTACCATCGCGACTGCAGAGTGGACATTTAATGACACTAATATACTTGAAGATAGTGATCACCACTTTGGAACTGCAAATGGAACAGCAACATTAACTGTGAAACAATTTTTTATCACTGATGTTGGTAAGAAAAAGATCCAGTATGGCGCAGTCAAGAAATTATTTTTATTTCTGTCCCAGGAGACATTAAAAATCATACACATTTACAATGCAAGTGCTGCCTAGGACGTTTCTCCTTGTGCTCTGACCTGCGCGAATGCAGAACCCTCATTGTCTTACAGTGCAAAACACCTACGCTGTCTTCATTGCTTAGCCTGTCCCACCAATGCCAAAAAATATATATAAAAAGTTCAGGTCATGGTAATATTTGACCAAAAATGTACAATATGACTAGTTTTACACAGCTATAGTAAAGTGTAAGGCTCAAATAATTCATATGTAAAGTGCTAACCATTCATTTTCGCATCTTCTTTTAGCCAACTTTAACCCTAACTTGAAACAGCAAGTTAACAGTAAAGAATTACACAGGTTGAAAAGCATCGCAAGAGAAACGAATTCTTAATGACTGAAGCCTCAGCCTGTCAAATTTCTTCTATTCGACAGAATGAAGAAAAGCCCCAGTATTCACCAAATAGTTGGTTGTTACATCATCATCTATTCAAATTCAGACTCCCTCTTGTGTTTTTTGAAACCCAAGCCACCTAAAGACTGCTGAAAGCTGATTTAGGTTGATGGCCCCCATAGTGTGGCCATTAGGTAAAAGTCCTAAACTAAATTTAACAGTTTAATACAATTTAAAATAAAATATTTCAAAAGGCCTATCTAAAAATTTATATGGTGACAGCACAAAGTTAAAAAGTTAAAAACTACACTAAAGGGGGATTAGGAGTAGTGCACCAGCTCTTAGCAGCGGGGCAACAGTCACTCGCTCAGTCCACCAATCCCACAGGTCCAGCGGCTCCACTGAACACACTCCTTCCCTATGGCCCGTTCCGTCGGTCCCTCAGTCACGCCACAATCCCACCTCGCAGCCACCCCTGTCCAGGTCCTATCTGTGCCGCCAACTGAGATAAAAATCTTACTCACGGATATGAGTAAGATTTGTACAGGCCTGAATGAAGTTGCGTTCGTAACAGCGGGCACTGGCTGCTACAGTCGGCTGTATTCTCGTCTTAGTCACTGCTGGCTCCGTACGAATCGGCCCGGCTGCTTCCTCGTAGGTCTCTGGTAACTGCCGTTCCCATGCTGCCTTGTGCTGAATGCTCCATGCTGCGCCCGTTGTCCTCCGTCAGACCCCCATCTCCTTATGGCAAGCCATTAGCGCCAAAAAACGTAACTCTTGTAGCATGTTTCGCCAACAAAACGGCGTTTAAAACGGCGTTTTGTGTATAAAAACGGCAAGAAAAACGCCGTTTTATTTTGACACGCCGTAAAAAGCGCCGTTTTAAACACCGTTTTGTTAACTAAACAAAGGGCGTAAAAAACTGATAATGAGCTCCGCCCTGTGGATTTTACAACCACTAAATTTGAAGTGTTGTCACCCAATCAGTACAGAAGAAGAACAGACCACACTAATTCAGCACTGATCTACTTTACTGTGATCGTAGCCACCTAAAGGCAGAAAGTAACCACAGACAAACATGAAAAACTCAACACAAAAGTCCCAGACTGATCAAGTAAATTGACTACATTTACTAAAAATATTTAGCTACTCTAGGTTATAGCTTGTAACATCTCTTGATTGATGATTTTAGTTCAAATTTGACATAAATAATTAATTTGCTTTTTATTTATCATCACTGTCAGATTAAAGTATCTCCTAAAATAGAACATACAAACACAAAGAAAGTAAGAAATCACCATAAGTGGAACAACTATCTTTACATGGTCATCAGTGAACAGTTTAAGCCTCATTTGTCTTTTTATGAGCCCTTCAGTCTGTGCAGTATAGCCTACCCTTGTTTCTACAAAGCTTTGTTTTACCATGTCATCCTAAATCCAGGCCAAAGGCAACCTGACACAAACGTGTGTTTCAGTCGATTCAGGGAAAACACAGCTTGTCATTTATTCCCTGGCTTTTATTTATTTATCCAAAGCTATCCTTCCGGACTCCTGCGATAATATTTATGTTACCCCAAAACACTACACTATACAAGTTGCTACAAAAACTTATCTTATTCCATATTTATATATTTCCACATTTATTTATGTTGACTGTATGTTTGTCTACATGTAGCACCTTATCACCACAGCAAATTCCTCGTATGTGTAAAACACTACTTGACAATAAAGCTCATTCTGATTCTGAAAAGGTATCTGCAGGCTATTAAGATACTTGGTTTAAAAAAAAAAACGCTGCATTTCTTTCCCCCGAAATGGACATATTTGAGAAAGGTTACCTGAAGTCTTTAAAGCTTTTTACGGCGTGTCAAAATAAAACAGCGTTTTTCATGCCGTTTTTATACACAAAACGCCGTTTTAAACGCCGTTTTGTTAGCAAAACATGCCACAAGAGTGACGTTTTTTGGCACTAATGGCTTGCCATATCTCCTCCGCTCGCCTCCACGCAGTCATGCTCCCTTTTGTGTCCTTCATGTGTGCATCTGTTCCATTTCTGTTCCCTCTTTTCCTATCTCTTTGCTCTGCTTAAAAAGAGTCGTGTCCAGTCTATTACCTGGCGTCCGCACCTGTTGCTCATCATAAATTGGTGACGTCAACAGAGGTGTGTGGCATTTGAAGACAGTCATGCCAGTTGGTAAAATAACTTTTTTTGTGTTATGAGGCTTTTGAATGAAAAGTGCTTTTCTACTAAAGACTGACTGATTCAGTCCCTTCTATTTTATAAGAAACACTGTTATTCTATTGCATTTATCTGTATACTCATATTTTACATACACAATACCCTTGATGCTGAATTTTTTTACAATAAAAAAATTAAAAAAATTATTTGTGTTTTCATTGGCTTTCAAGCTGATGTTAAATTAAGTGAAGATTGTTAATTTGTCTTTAGAACATAGAAAAGATATAAATTCAGGTATGTGTAGGTATGATGTAAATTAGCGACAACAGGCATAAACGAGAAACCAGGGCTCGCAAAATCCATGTGCTATCTTGGCTTGCAGTGTGCAAGGAAGAGGTGTGATGCGAATTCGCGACAATCGGTGTCAAGGGGTTAAAAATCACAAACATGAATTAAAATACTCAAACAAAGCATGCCAAACCATACCACTCTACATGCAATATAAAATAAAACACAGCACACAAATAAAACATTCCAAAATAAAACACCAGATGCACAAAAATAGTCAGAAAATAGTATAAATAAATAACTCACTGTTTGTAATACATTTTCTGGCCCTGTCACAGTAGCCTGAGGGTGCTGTCAGCCCATGATTTGATGTTAATTGATGATCACCTTTAATTTCAGGAAGGTATCAATGTATGCTGAAAGACAGTGGGAGCCGTGGAATATTCAGACAGATATCCACCGGAACATACACTTTCCAAAACGAACCCTTGATCCAAGTGAAACCGATGAAACAACTAATCCAATGTGGTGCCGTAACGTCAGTGACACTGCAGTGCTCTGTCAACAGCCCCTATAATGTTGTGTTTAATAAAGAAAATTCTACTACAGGTAAACCTGAAACAAAAATGCACCAAAAGGCAAATCAACTATTGGGAAATCCTTTACATATAATAAAGTATTTGAGATCATCTGTATACATATATAGTATATTCCGTGAGTGAATGCTGATACTGTTTGTCCAAAGTGATTTTTTCTTTTTTGTATGTTTAGGTCCAAACATTACCTATTTGCTTAATAATACCTGTCAAAGCCAGAATATCACTTGTCAAGTGATAAACCATACGGAATTTAACATGAATATAACACTGGTGTTAACCAACAACAGTAAGTATTGATCCAGACATTAGAGAGTTTTATACAATTCAGGTCAATTTTATTTTTCCCAGTAATTAAATATAATTTTTCTCTCTCTCTAGGCATTAGATGTGTCAATGATCCTGTGTATGGTAGTGGAACTCTTAATTACGTGGCTGAAGCTCCCTGCGAACCAAACTATGTGGGAACAAAGACAGCTGTTTGTGGGAGCGATGGTCAGTGGGGAAATAAACAAGACAACTGCATCCTACAAATTGTCCAGCAGCTGTTCCAGCAGTCTCAGGTGACCTAGTTTACTGATTTGGGAGCCTTAGCACACTGACCTCTGCCATGTCTTTTCTTCATTCTTCCTCTGCCTGAAAGTGTTGGTCTAGCCAGTAGTAGAATAAGCACTGGGATCGTAAGTAACACTTACAGTGATACTACGCTGTAAAAATAAAAGCAAAATAAAATACTGCATTAAAATGCTACTAAGGCATATGTAATAACAAAATTTTGTACATTTAATCTCAAAGTTGAAGCTCATTTGAAGTAGTTTTGTTTCAATTATATCAATGAACTGGCTGGTCATATATGTATTGTGTATGTAAAATATGAGTATACAGATAAATGCAATAGAATAACAGTGTTTCTTGTGAAATAGAAGGGACTGAATCAGTCAGTCTTTAGTAGAAAAGCACTTTTCATACAAAAGCCTCATAACATAAAAATAAAATAAATAAAATTAGCCAGAAATGGCTATGATCCATGCAGGTTGCGAAAAAATGCCACATTTTACAGACGCAGGTGACTTCAGAGATTATAGTGATGAAAGAATTTGGACTTGAAGCAGAGTTTTTTTTTTTTTTTTTTAAAGATAATTGCATAAATGCAAAGAACACCCCCATATTTGGGAGTCACTCAGTTTAAACTTAAAATGCTCAAAATGTTGTTGTTGTCCTAAATATAAATATATATATCACAAATCATTTTGCTGGTTTTGGTTGTCTTGTAAATTAGGTTCGGCAATGGCGGTGCCTGATTAAATGTGATTAAGATCAGCCTGAACATCAACATAATTGAGTTTTTAGTTAGAAAAACTGGACAATATTATATAGCTGCAGTGCCGGAGTCTGCAGTATTATAGTATTGGCTCAACGTTCAGTTTGTAAATCACTAGCAATTGAAACAGGAATGCTTTCCTGAGAATCCTCCAGTTTTTAAGATTTCTTCAGTATCAAATTACTTCAGTGATAGTTGTCAGTATATCCAGTGGTACACAGCACACATGAACTGTATGAGCTGTATATTGACGAATCATTCACGGACTACAAGGTACCGGTAATTTTCGTTCAGCCTCTCTACACTTTTTCGACCATGATGATAGGCTACAAAAATATTGAACTGATTGGCAAATTTAGCATAATGTCGATATTTTAGAGACCCCTCAAAATATTACAAATCATGTTTTCAGGGGAGCTCATGTCTTATTAAGACAGTAGTTCGCACCCTGGCCGTAGCCTCCAGAAAAAACCCTTGATAAACATATGTAGGGTATTTTCTTAGATCGCTCAGCTAACTAGCTGCTTCAGATCAGCCCAAAAACAAAATGCTTCCTTGATGCTGACGTACTTAATCTAGAATTGGGAGAATTTTGAGTGCTTGAATGGCTGCTCCAGCTTGACGCGATCTTGCTAAATGTATAGCCCATATTCTCATATTTCTTTTTGTATGTGGCTATAATAGGCCTGTAGTGCTCACTTCTATAATCATATTTGCCATAGTTGATATGAGATGCGACTTGAAAAGAAATAGCCTTAGCCTATAGGCTATACAATAAAATAAATAGCTTAAATATGTAATATTGTAATATTTTGTTTCACACTGTAGGCCTACACGAAAGCCATTCTCCTGGTTCTGGCCCTCCATTCACCCCAACCACATTCTTACTCAGTCATATACCTGCCTTTACAGTCACAAACTGACGCTACAGGGCTTCCCCCAGTGCCTTGACAGGGAGTGAGAACGGGTTGTAGGGATACAACACCGGTCAAAGATAGAACAAACCGCAGCTCATTTGTTTTCCGTTATGAGTTTAAAACAGAAAAACAAAAAAACGACTTGGTTTTATTTGTTTTTTTCCAATTTGGTTTTGAAACGACAGAATGAAAGAATGAACTAGACACGGATTTAGCATGCATACAGTGCCTTGCAAAAGTGTTCACTTAGTCTACGTTCAGACTGCAGGCCAATGTGACCCAAATCCGATTTTTTTCCTGGAGGAGTTGGGGATTGAACCGCCGACCTTCTGATTAAGGGCAAACCCGCTCTACCTCCTGAGCCTCCTAGAGCAGCTGTTCTGCTGTAGACGGAGCCGTGGTGAACGAAAGAGCTCCACAAAAGCCATTATTATAAATATGGCTCACTTCCTCCTCTACCTCGCTATCATCTGCTGACAAATTCCCTGTCTTACACCTGAAATCCACCGGACAGCGAGCTCTCTTCTGAGTTATGTGCATGCTATTTGTCCGAGCGGACATAGTGGTGAGAGAGAGGGGGAGGGAGTGAGTTGTGGGCCAGTTGCGTTGTACAGCCCCAGAAACCATAATGAAAAGAACAGAGAGTTGTGAACACTTGTCATAATTTGGGAGAAATGTGACTTGTGAGAGGAAAATGAAAAACCTGAGTCTCCTTTGAGCTAACCAGAGCTAACCTCTGTTGCTACTTCTGTAGCCTGCAACAGCGTGCTGCATATAACGTTGTGTTTTTCTTCTGCGGGTCACTTTCAACCACGGACAGTCCACACTGGATTCTGATACGGGCCACATTTAAGCAATAATGTGAACTGTCAAACAAAAAAAATTGGATCTGGGAAAAAAATTGGAATTGAGCATCAAGCCCTGCAGTCTGAACATAGCCTTATTGGCAGGCCAGCCATTAGGGATTATGGACAGGGGGACAACATTTTCCAAATTGGGCCCCTCATCGACACCCACTCCAACACCACCTTCACCCAGCCAGCCTTAGCTCTAATACCAACAAGGGCAATTTCAAAGAAGCTCATGACCATTAGCCTTATAGTGACACAGATGGAGTCCCCAATGACCATTTACAAATTCACTTTTTCAATTACTCAATATGATTATAAAGCACAAAATAAAGTTGTTTTTTTCTTTCTTTGACTGTAACAGTTATGTTTCTCCTATTAACTTAAAACAAGAAAAAGAGAGAAAAAATGTCCTTCAATGATTGAGTGATTAGTGAAAAGTAAAATTAAACTTTGAAGAAATTCAAATTATGAGCAAACAAATAAATGTAGGCCTACTTCATCTATCAACTTCGATCTTGAGGGATAAATTAATCAAATTATTGATCAAATTGTGTGCAGAACTGAAATACTGTATAAAGGATATGGCTGTGTCAGCTGAAACGATAAGAATAATATAAACAGAGGCTTACCACATGTATAGCTTACTGCATTGATATTTGCAGCTGTATACAATGACCTGTAATGTGCTGCTGACTAGTGTTTACTATAGGTCAATAGTCAGTTTTCTTGAAGTTGCTACAGGGGAACTTGTGGTGTTATTAATCTTTATTAATATAAAGAGAAACACAAAATTCAGATGGCGGGTGAAATCAAAATATAATAGAATATAATGCAGTGCAGCTCTCAAGCATTCTGTGTTTCTTTAAGATGTGTTTTTCCTGAAGATCAACTTTTACAACGTTACAAGGTTGTTTATTTGTCAAGGTTGTAAAATAAAACAGGTTTGTCTCTTCATGCAACACACACAGAACTTAACAGATTAATATATTAAAAGGCTATTTGAATACACATTAAATGTTTATTAATGTTTATTAAAATATTTTCTTATGTAGGTTAATATCATCCCTGCTGAGTCAGCACACATATGATTTTTGTCTTCCCACCACTTTATTGTTTTGTTTGTCTTTGTTTGGGGAAATAGGCAGAAATCTCACCACAGATCCACACAAAGGTTCACTTCAGCACCTCTGAGCAGAGTTTGCGCCTCAGATTTGAGGTTATTTTGCAAAACTCTTTCAGTTAGTTACCACAGAGTGAGACGCTGGTATTGCATCAGCTTACCTATTATGAATATTATATTCCAGTTACCAGTGTTGGGAAGTAACTAGTTGCATGAAATTTAGTGACATAGTTTAATAACAAATAAACTGGGCGAAATGTGTATTTAAATCACAGTTACTTAAAGGTTCAGTGTGTAATATTTGTGAGGATCTATCAACAGAAATGCAATATCATATCTGTAACTATGTTTTCAGTGGTGTGTAAAGACCTTACATTATAAACCATTGTGTTTTACCTTAGAATGAGGCATTTATATACATAACCGCGGGCACCCCGTTCTATGGACGTTGCCACTTTGCATTGTCATGTTTCTACAGTAGCTGAAAACGGATAAACAGCGCTACAGAGTGCGTTTTATCACTACGTTCTTCTTGTTCTACTTCTGGTAGAATTCAGGTAGCGCAGACACTCATCACTATGTTGAATATGTACGTTAGAAGAAGAAGAAGTTGTAATAATATACAGCAGGGATCTGCAAATAAGTTTACCGCCATTAGATGGCCATAATATTGACATGCAGTAAGATGTTGTTCAGTTAGCTCAGTCAGTAGAGTGCGGATCTCTCAACCTGATGGTTGATGGTTCAGTCCCTCCTTGTGATAACTTTCTTCAACAAATGGATTCTGCAGTGAATGTTTCTCATGGCATGTGCTGCACTGTTTTAGTGTTTAATCCACATCCATCAACCTACGGATGCCTTTTCATTTTCCCAGTATCTCCAGACTCTTTTAATGTTGTTCAGAAGTAAAAGCTCAGCTCACCTCCAATACTGCATTACAGTGAACTAGCTTCTCGCGCTGTTTAGTAACGTTTGATGCTGTTGTGATGGCTTTGATTGGTTCTCCTGTTTGAATTTGCAGCGCCGCCGTCTGCCATTTAAACTGCCTCTCTTTTGAAAATGGTTAAAAGTTGAAAACTTAAGAAACGTAATCAAATGTGATAAGTTAAATTACTTTAATAGAGTAATTGAAATAGTTATGCAAGGCTACTATTACATTTTAAATAGGGTAACTTGTAATCAGTTACCTATTATATTTCCAGAGTAACTTTCCCAACACTGACCATTTCCGTAAAATTTTTGTGGGATGTTTCCATTTATAAAATCCATACTGCAGCTGGCTTTACCGTAGGTGAACGTAGCAAACATTTCTAAAACGCCCAGTGTGTTTTTATTGTTTTTCTTTGAAAGGTTTAAAATACAGGAGAATCCCAGGAAAAACTGGAGGGTTGACAGGAAAGTTAATGCCGCAACCTAATGGAGTGAAGTGTGTCTAACATAAATAAGCTCAGTGCATAAGAGTATTGACGCTTTTGTCAAGAAGTTGGCATTTCATGTTCTGGTTTACTTCCTGTCTTCCTCTGCATCGCTCAGAATCTCAGTATTTAGGGACATTAAACCTGTTTACTGTAAGTATAGTCATATGAAACTAAAGTGAAAGGCAAATAAGTCTGGCATCAGGCCAAATTCTTTTCAAGCCGTTACATAGCGGGCTAGAACATAGTCAAATTATTTCAAATCCTGGGATACTTGTGTGCATGTTTAGCTCAGTCGGTGCTGTGCGGGACCCGTTTGGAAGGTTGTAAGATTGATTCCAACTAACTGTAGATATTTTTTTCTCCCTTGTTTAACAAATTGATTATAAGGACACTTTTGCACATGCTCATAATAAAGCATGTTCTGCAGTGTGTGTGTGTGTGTCCCGGCGTTTGATCAGCATTCATAAACCTATAGACGCTTATTTTCATTTCCCTGAGGAAATTCAGGGGATCACACATTTACTGACGGCTTTTTCAGAGGTGTGTCAAGCAAGCCAGAGACTCTTTTAAATGTCGTTCAGAACTCTTCAAAGTAAAAGCTCTTAATAACCTTGTCATAAAGCATTGCTGCAAAAAAGTTCTTGCGCTTTTATTTTGGAGACAGAATCACTTAAGAGGAAGTGAGAGTGTGTTCTTGGCCTGATCAGATTCCTTTCATGTAAAGTATCTGCTGATACTGATAAGATAAAACTAAATTCCTTTAAAAATAATTTTAATAATTTTAATATACTGTACATAGCGAGAATATTATTTGTCATTTCCTCGCTCCTAAATCCTCACTTGAACCGGAAGTTGTTCTGCTTTGCCATTTTGCAGACCATCCTAAAGCTGTTATTTGCGCTCCAAGGAGCGAGGACAGGGGAGCAATCTCTGTGGAACTATGAGCGAGGACACACCAGTGCATCCTTCACGGAATACTTTTACTGACCGACACGCCCCCTTATCGGGTAGCGGTTATATTGATTTGACGGTGCAGCTGATCGGACTGATACATGTCAGATAACTTGTCTTATATTTGATTTGTTTTATGATTCACTTTCTAGTTAAAATCTGAGTTCATTGTACGTCTGAACAGAAAAGCCCCACATACAACATTCATCTTTTAGCCTATTAGAAAGATTTTTCTTTCTTTTATGTCTCCCATCTGGTTTTATAATGGATACAATTAAAGTCAGAGAAAGTCGAAGAGTCTGATCTTGAGAAGCTGCAGAGCTGCAGTCTCTATTCATTCAACTTACACTGCAAATTTCCAGCTAAACTGAGGCTTTTTGTTGACACTTCTCTCTCTCTCGCGTGCCATTCATCGGTCTTGTGTAGAGTTTAGCGTGCATGCTGTGCTGCCGACAACTGCATGCACGTCGCGGTTCCTCACAGATCTATTTCAAGTAGCCAGCTATTTAAAAACGTTAAAATATTGTTTTTGTGATTCATCCACGGTGATAAATTATCCGAAAGTCCCGCGAGGTGCGGAAAACTCCACACAACACCAGTGAAGCTGAGGTTCTGTTTCTTCAGCAAGTGTTCCTCTCCTGCACCTACACATATACACGCTACACTTACACATGTGTCCTGACGAGCCAGGGTTGGATTACAATTTTGGATGTATTTGCGCACTTTAAAAACATTTTTACATGTTTATTTACAGCATTAAATGTTGAAATGTATATTGTAATAGGCTGTATATTAACTTATTGGGAGAAAAATGTGTAATCAGACGTTGAGCACCCCCATATAGACAAAATGGCATGATCCTTGTTTCACTGCGAAGCTTCGACTGTGAGATTCACAGTCAAATCAGGCTCTGCCCATCGAAGCATCGAATCTTTGACTATTCGGGGTCAGCCCTAGTAAACACATAGCCTAAGTAGTCGTACAATACACTGCACTAAAGTCTCCAGTATAATAAAGGAAAATAAAGCCTGCACATCCAGCCATCTCACCTACTGCATCTGATAAAAAGCAGCCTGCAGCTCCACGAGTAAAATCAGCTGATGAAAGAATGAATGAATGTGCTGCTGCGGCAAAATAAAATATCGATTGATTTGATGGAACACAGTGATTAATCGGTGACGAGTGGTGTGACTTGCAAACAAAATGTGTGCAGTAGTGTTAAAATGATATCAGAAGAGGAAATAAACAGAAAGCCTACAAGTGAGCGTTGACTTTGATATGAGTATGATATATGATGTATGATACATCATTTCAATTTCCCTTAAACATTGACCCTAATGAATCAAAAGAGACTGTGATCATATTCGGGGTTATTCAATAACGAATTCACAATCAGAATCGATTTATATAAATGCAGATAATATCAGCATTGTGCCAGTAGAAATGATCCTGTGCCTCTGAGCAGGACATACAGTAACCTATAATTTTTCTCATGTGCAGGTGTACAGAGAGAATCATGCTCATCTGCAGACTCAGTTAGTCATACCCAAATGCACCTTGTATGCGCTTGTGTTTGCAGTTGAACAGTTTACAGATGAAAGATTGAATCAGATTTTATCACTATTGTTTAATTGTTTTCTACTTAAGTGAATACAAATCCCACACCTTGTGACTTTCATTTGATCTTTGAGATTCTGTGTAATGCTGCTTGTTTTTTTTTAATTCTCGTAGGACTTGAATAACAATTCGTTTCCAAGATTCTTGGAAAAACTCAGCTCTGCCACTGTCAACTTGACAGAGCAAGTTGTTGACTCTCCTGGAACCATTACCGCCATTGTTCAAATACTCAACAATGTAGCCAACGTGTCATTATCACCAAATATCTCAATAACTGAAACTTCAATGAAGGTATGTGAATTAGTCTGCTGAGCTACACAATATGCACATTTCAATACAATATTACATGTACTAATATCTTCTTTCCTTTGAATTTAGAACATCCTATTAACTGCAGGTGTCCTAACCACGAATGGCTCAAAGACATCATGGGGCTATCTGAATGGCAACGACACCAGCAACATCACAGCAACACAAAGAAAAAGTGTCAGCTCAGCATTTTTGCAGTCCCTTGAGACTATAACAAGTTATCTTACCAATGACTCTTTCAATATTGACACACCTTCAATTATCTTGAACAAAACTACATTTAAAAACACTTTCATGGCAGACTTTGATTCCTCTGTGGAGATAGACATACCAACGTCTGATGGAAGAAGTAAGTTTATCACTGTGGTAACATTTGCCTCAATGGATAACGTGCTCCCTGCAAGAGACAAAGGAAATTCATCCATCTACGTCATCAACGGGAGAGTCGTACTTGTTCAGTCCAGTGGTACCGTCGATAATGTTTCGTTCACATTTGATATTATAAACAATACTCTGGGGAACGCTCAGTGTGTTTTCTGGAACTTCAGCCTCTTCAGTGGTCTCGGGGGATGGGACAATGGGGGCTGCGTGTTGGTATCCAGCAACACCAATGTCACCTGCAACTGCAACCACCTGACCTCGTTCTCTATCCTTATGTCACCTAACACCATATTTGACATTGTGTTGGATTACATTACCTACATTGGAGTTGGCATATCTATGGCTTCCTTGGTCATATGCCTCATTATTGAAGCTATCATCTGGAGAAAAATAAGAAGGAACACCACATCTTACTTGCGTCATGTTTCCATTGTTAACATCGCTGTGTCTCTCCTGATTGCTGACATCTGGTTCATTATTGGGGCCGCCATCTCAGATGCAAAGACAGTAAACCAACCAGCATGCACTGCGGCTACATTTTTTATCCATTTTTTCTACCTTGCCCTGTTCTTCTGGATGTTAGCCTCAGCTCTGCTGTTGTTCTACCGCACAGTCAGTGTCTTCGAAGGGGGTTTGTCTAAAACATCTATGTTGGCTATTGGATTCTCTCTAGGCTACGGGGGCCCTCTCATCATCGCTGTCATAACTATAGCTGCCACTGCACCCCAAAAAGCGTACATCCGAGACGCTGGGGTCTGCTGGCTCAACTGGGATAAATCCAAAGCTCTACTGGCATTTGTGATCCCTGCACTGACAATAGTGGTGATAAACCTGTTAATACTGCTTGTTGTGATTTACAAAATGTTGAGAAGAAGGGCAGGAGACTCTTCACAAGCAGCTGAAAGACATGTAATGGTGGTTATTGCAAGGAGTTTGGCTGTCCTCACACCATTTTTTGGATTAACTTGGGGTCTGGGAGCCGGAACCCTCGCCGACCCAACAAATAGAGGAATCAGTATTTCATTTGCGTTGTTCAATTCGCTGCAGGTATAAATACAATAGTTAATAATACTGACATTATTGCTGTGCTGTGCTGTGCTGTGTGTACTAAAATTATTGTAGAGATTCTGAATAGCGAGTTTGCCATCTTAGCTAATGCTACTCTGTCTGTCATTTAAGGGTTTCTTCATATTGGTGTTTGGAACGCTGTCGGACAAAAAGGTGTGTGTCTCAATTACAATTTTTAATCAATAGGTGCTTCTAACTGCTCATTAAATGATTCTACTGAGAAACCAGCATGAACTGCAACAATACTGCTACAAAAGTCTACTTACTCAAGTGAAATAACACCTTTTAAGCCGTGTTTCCATCAGCGTTTTTTAATGTGCATTTTGAAGTATCGCATTAGAAAAGGTTGATGGAAACGGTAAAATTCGGGGGAAAAATCCGTAATTTCAAAAAAAAAGTTTTACACTCGCTTGAGGTGGTTTTTGTCTCTGTCGAAAAAGAGTAAATGCGATAAATGGGAGATGGAAAAACTTTATCCGAATAAGTTCTGACGTAGCAAACTTGTAACTAACAATTGATCAGCTGTTTCTGCTGTTAGTGTCTTGCCCAGTTCTGCAGAGTTCTGCAAGCCTGCCGAGAATTTCATTCACTTCACGGCTGGTAACTCTCATTTGTGCTAAGAAAAGAGGTGGATGCAAATCTTGGCAGGTAGCCTTCATCATGTGTTCTGTCGAATTATGCATTCACCTCTTAAAGGTCCTTTTCAGATACTTTGCTCTGCACACTGATCAACCATCTGTGAGCTACTATAATGAAAGTAAATTGATGGTAGTCATGATTTCTTATATCCAGAACCCTGGTCCCCATGTCTTTGAACTTCATAACATCATCCTTGTTGACCCTTTAAAATGTGTTCAATTATTGAAACAAACTTGTTTGAGTTTTAAAGCAGTGTGCTCAATTTTGAGAATTAACTTTTCAGGTGCGGTCAGAATTAATAGGGTCAGAAACATCCGGGAGTGGAACAAGGGTAAGGACAGTTGTCTTAATCAATACATTTTCCTACTTGCAGATTCAAACATTGTAGTGATTAATTTTTTTCTTTCTTGTTATAGAGCACCAGCGCTGGAAACTCATCAAGTGTATTTACCTTTTTCCAGAAATGGAGGAGAGGTGGTATAACAACAATTAAGAAAAGACCGAGACAAAAGCTCAAATGCTAAACGTCTAAATGCTAGTGTAATGTTGGCCACATACTTTGGTCTAGATTTAAAAATCTCACCAACTATTACACATATTGCCATAACATTTTGTACAGACAGTTATGTTTCCTACACTATAAAAAATGTCATAAAAATACAGAATAATACTTTTGTTAAAAACATTAATCATAAAATAAAGGTTTTATTCTGTAAATTCATATTATTAGAAATTATAGTTTTTGAACAGGATTATTCCATTGCTTAACTGCCTTGAACATTAAATTACATTGAATTCTATGTAAAAAGACAAAACAACTAACATCATGTCACTGAGTGTAAAATGAAGACAAGTTTTTTTGAAACTTCAAATTTAAAGTGAAACTTTAAATAAATGTAAAAAAAGAAAAAAAAGTCTGACAGCAAAGTTGACAAACACAGTAAAAAAATGAAAACTTTTGTTATTTTACAAATAATGTTATTTAAAATAAAGATGTTAACTGTACCTTTTCTGCATTTTTACAGTCCAACAGTAGTAGAATGAAAAATACATGTATAAATCTGCATAGAAACAGAAATTAATATTGGAAAAATACCTATAAATTACATTTACAATTAAATGAAGTCTGGTGTTTTCAAACAGGATTCTTTGGTAAATTCATAAGATTGTAAAATCCATCCACAAGAACTCTCTGTCAAATACAGATTTCTGGATGTAAAACACAAAAGAATCGAACAAAATTACCTTCAAATAAAGTATCTTGAAAGGTTTAGGATTTTATTTTATGGAATTATCCGATCTATTTACAGTAAATTCCTGTTTAATATCGTTTTTAAACTGTACACAGAGTAAAATCATGTAATAATAGCGTGCAGAAAAAAATCATTTTAATAGTCAATACTTTATATAAACATTCTACTAACTATCCAATATATCTACACACTTTTACTATTGATGTGTGGAGCTTACTTTGTATTATAGCAATTAAAATGAAACTAACCAATATATCTACATTCTTTTCCCAATAATGTATGGGATTTACTTTACATTGACATTGTTTTAAGTAAAAGCAACTATCCAATATATCTACATACTTTTCCTATTAATGTATGAGTTTACTATATAATACTGTATAATCATTGTTTTATTGTAATAAAAATGTAATTGTTTTCCAATCCATGGTCTCAACCGCTCAACTAAAAATTCCACAAGCAAGTGTTCTGTTAAGTTAGTTGGATTAATGTCATTCTAATACAAACTGCAATACTCTAATACTGTAAAGTAATTACTGAAATAATAACAATATTCTCATTTTGTGAATGCTTAAAAAACATGTCATGCAAACATGACAAAGATACTGTAGAATTTATTTTAAAGGGCACAGTAAGCATTTTAAAGCTAAGAGGAACAGAGGTTTCCTGAGAGTCCTGGATACTGGCCTATTTAAATACAACCCTCACAAATATTACTTGTTGATGACCAGTGCTATGACCTGGAGTCATATAGGTTTGGGTGCGAGTTTCAGTTACATGTATTTCTGCCTGCTGTTACTCTCCCTGCCCAAGGGAGGATCTGTTCTGTGTTTGACTATGTTACAGGTGGTGGAGAGCGCATTAGGCTGGGAAAAGGTGGTTTTGTTTGTTATTTTGGCCCAGCTCTCCCATTATTATGGCTTGAAAAAATAAAAGTTTTAAACAGTTATAACAACTTGTTAGCACACAACTTTAGAACATCAAAAGTCAACCAAAACAAATAACCACTTGGGTCATATGTGTGGAAATAAAATTGGTAACTACGAAAGTATTAACCATTGACTCCACCTTCTTCCTGTGTTGACCAATCACTAGTTACGTGTTGTTACTCCAGATTCTATGAGTATAGGCTGAGCCCTCTAAGGCTATCGCTATTGGGTTTACCCCTACGCACGCATGCGTGGCACTGAGAAAAGCATGTCTACGCCCACCAGCAGAGTGGACCTCTCTTTCCTCGTCACCTTGTGTATTTACAATGGTGAGACCTGGCCATCGTCTCCCACAATGCTTTTCCTTCAGCACTGAGTGTTAAAGAACTTCCTTAGGTGTCTTAATTGATGTAACAGGGAAAAGTAAGAGAGGTTTAGCTTAGAGACATTAGCTGACCCTACAAAGTGAAAACTGACCTTCAAGCTCTAGTTATTTCTCACATGTAACTGCCCTTGTTAGGGAGACAACAGTTAGACTGATAAGGTGGAGACAGTAGCTCACGTGTCAGGCTAGCAAATATCAGTGTTCTCTGGTAATCTTATAGGGTTGAGTCTTACAAGAATGTTTACAAACACTCACTGACTCCACAGATAAGAGTACAGGTAGTGATAGATTCCAATATGATGAATCATTGGAGTCTAAAAATCAGATAGATTAGTTGTTCTAGGTTAAGGCCATCTAAAGATGACAATAATGATGATAGGGAAACCTACAGGCACTAGGGGGAAGACAGTAACATAAAAAGATTGGTGTTGGCATTTGACGTGTTCACATGTTGTATGCTGGCACTGTATCTCCTCGGCCGGGCTTATTAAACCATGCTATGTTAAGTCTTCATCAGTCTCCAAAACTTCTTCACATTTGAACCTGGCTCACAACATTTCTTCAACACTGAGAACCACAGGTCCGGTGAGGCCCACAAGTTAGAGGGCTGCGCCTATACTCATAGAAGCTGGAGTTACAATACATAATTACCGTTCTACGTCGTATAGGCTTCACCCTCTAAGGCTATCACTATTGGGTTAGAGGCGAAGCGGGATGAGTCAACGCCTCACTGACCCATACGGCACCACCAAGAACAGACCCACCTGCCCAGAGCCAACATAATAAGCCATCCAGTCCCTCGCAGCACACGGCATCCGTGGTGGCGTGCGCACACCCACCCATGGCGCGTTCAACAGGCCGGGGACTGGATGGGGGGCCCCGCAGCTGTACTGGTGCAGACGAGGTCACGCACTGCAAGCGCACCAGCTGTGCACAGAGCAGGGCCAGCGAGAGCAGCTGCTCCCCCCACCGTCGGGTTGAGAGGAAGCACACAGCACACTCACTGAGGACAGTCACTTAGACAGCACTCTCAGCACTGAGTGAGTCAGCGACATCCCATCCAGGAGACATCCCATGGTAGAACCGGACAAATGAGTATGGGGAAGAACAGGAGGCTGCAGTGCAAATGTCATCTCACCGTGCAATGCCACAGAGGAAGAGACACCTCTTGTGGAGTGTGCACCCTGATGTCGTCTTGTGGAGATTCACCGGCTGACACACAGGCCTGTGAAATGGCTTTGCACAGCCAATGAGACAGACATTGCGCTGATGCTCTTAGGCATAAACGCAGGATTAGGGTGCAGGGTGCAGTCAAACTGAATCCTGAGGCACGGTGGGGCTACAGAGAGGGCAGCCAGATTGCTAACCCTCTCGGCCGATGCCAGAGCCACAAGCAAGGCGACCTTGGTCAAAAGGAACTTCAGGTCCGCCATCTCAAAGGCTGAAAAGGGGCTTTGGTCAGGGCGCATAAAACCATGTTTAGCTCAGCATTGACCATCTAACGTTACTCTGACTGTCATTCGTTATGAAAAGATGAATGAGCGTTTGTTTACTAGCCAAACTTGTGGTAGTCAATTAACGTAATCATTACGTCCCGCTGGCTGCCATCACGTTAATTATTGCCATTGGCTGGAAAGAGGTTACAGGTTTATTGTTGATCATGTAACGGTACAGTTTTATTTAGTTATAACATTACACTGGTTTGAGAGTCAGGAGGATGTGTTGACTTACAGTAGTTTATAAGCTGTCATTAACTGCATTGCATATTACATGGTTGTGCTCTGTAAGTTAAAAAATGTTACAGCTTTATTGTTGACCATGTAACTTTATAGTATTGTTTAGTTAACTTGTTGTTGACTTACAGTAGTTTATAAGCTGTCATTAATTGTAGACGCATTGTACATTGGGCTACATGGTTGTGCTCTGTAAGTTAAAAACAGACAGATTTATTGTTGATTATGCACAGTTTTATTGACCTAC